TACGCAGCAGGGACGCAATCAGAGGTGACAAAATGCAATATATAAACGCAAGTATATTAGCACTTTGAGTATAGAGAGAGATGATGTCTTCTCATTACATGTGTGAATTAGCGTTAGTGACAGAAAGTGTCCTTGGGGAAATACGTGGATTTGGATGCCCTCTTGATGCAAAAAGTTCTAATTATAACAGTGTTTTCATGGCAAGCATGGGAGATATAATAAAAATTGATATAATTGCAAGCAAAGTTTTGGAGTGTAGCGTTGGGAGACATCACACAAGTTTGCTCTACGCTTGCATTTTATTTTCCAAGATTTCTGCAGCATTAAAAACAGAAAGAATGATTTTGATTGTTACCTTTTGGGCATAAACAAATGAAAACTCCAGTCCAATAGTTTGAACTGTAGACTTTGTTACTGCCAATGACTTCAAGAGCTGGACTGAGACTGCACGGGAGCCAGATCGACTAGAGCAGACAAGTCCCCAGGTTTTCACTGTGAAAAGAGACCCATGACACAATCCAGCACCTAACTGCAGGGCGTGAGATGCAGGCGGGGAAATCATACCTGCTGAGTGTGGACTGGGAAAACCCTGAGGTAAAAGTGAGAAACACTTCCAAAGAGAATGAAGCCATGAATCTATAGGATAGTGTGGTATAATATCAAACCGACTGAATATTGTGGTGGTGGACAATCAGTGCAGAAAATAGGTATTGTAGCAAGTCATGTACGAAAAATAGAAACAATCACTGGGACTCAGCAAAGAGAAGGAAAGAAATGTGGCTAAAGGATATGTCAAAAATAACAGCAGACAGCAGTTATAAACGACAGAACCTCATGCTCCCAGTCTACATGTGATGCACCTAACCTACTTGAGTAATTTTAGACAAGATGCGTGCTTCTATACACCAATTAATATAAAGTAGTTAGTTTGTAAAGTGGATAAATGCACGCAAACAGAACTTAATGCAGTTTTGACCTCACCACCTTGTGAGCGCTTAGAATCAGACAAACATTCACGAACATGCGACAAGTTTCCACTAATGGATGCTGCTGTTTTGTTCTTCCGCAAAGACGCATAACTTGCCTCAACTCTATGAAATTGTGCCTGACAGAGTAATTCTTTTTCAGAAAGCAAGAAAAGACGTCCAGAGTTATATTACCAATGGTACACAGTAATTAGTGAAGTGTTTCTGTACAAGGGTTAAACTGTGGAGCAGCTCAAGCAATGTCCAAATAAAAAACAGTTCAAGAATTTATTTTTGAACATTAAAAGAAAATGAGTTTGTTTTGTTTATATTATTAGTTAGTAAGTCTATAGGATGCATATAATATTGTAGCATGCATGTCACTATCATTCTTCTTTCAGTTTTCCGTTGTACATAGTCTACACTTTTCCATTGCGTGATTGAAATAAACTTTAGACGGTTAAACTGAACTGGTCTCCTTCAGTTAAATCTCATCTGAACTTAATGTTGGTGTTTTGTTTGGATACTTGGACCTCAACCAAGGCGTTCTGATGCACACTTTGGCAAATTTGTGATGAAGTAGGAATATCATCTTCATCCTTGAGACATTTACATAAAAGAGCAGATTCAGATAAAAATGGTACAAAAATTGAGAATTGTGCAGGAGTAGAACATAATTTGTGCTTTAAAGGTCACCGCTGGAGGTAGAGGAGAAAAACATGAATATTGTAAAGGTCAATGGGTTGAACGTGCGTTTGTGGCATTAAGGGCTACTTACTGTACATGCGGTGTGTAATTTTATTCAACGATGCAATGTTTGAATTAGCTATATTTAAAACGCAATTTAAATTTATTTTTCTATCACCACATTTTTCACATACATTGCATTTGTTTGTGCATATCTTTGGGGACATCCTGGAGTCCCCAGGAAGATATGTAAAGCTCATGAATGGGGTCCATCGTATTCTTAAATTGTGTGTGAGAATACTGCCATTGAACAAAAAAAGCTATAATGGAACGATTTACCGGATGAAATAAAAAGTTCTTCAAACCTGTTACAATTTGTAAAAATATTTAAAAATGTACATGCAGGAGAGAGAGTGATGCCCTGAGCACAGAGCAGGTGATGGGGGAGAGGGGTAGGGTCAGAGAGTTTTTAGGCCAGTGTGTGTATATGTGTCTTTTGTGTCTAATACCCCATGGTAGGGTATTGCATGGGGGTACTGTATGTACTGCATAGTATCAAATTTGTATTCTGTATGTTGATTAATTGCATATTGTATTCTGTGTAGTATTGAATGGTGAGAGGGGTTGGGAACAAATAAGCAACTGCTTCATCCAACCCCTTTTAAAACCTGTATCAGTGTAAAGATATGTGAAATTGTGCTCTGCAGCTTTGAAATAAATAATACTAATTATGTTTCAGTATCAGGCACATGCACATTCTATCCGTTATATCTGCACTCTATCCATATGTGTATTCATATAATCTAAATGAAACCCACTCTTTCATTTTTGAGATGGGAACAGTGCATTGTGCATAAATATGTACAATAATAGATTCCTAAACAGTGTGGGCTCTGTCAACTACACCACTCTAAGCTTTTCTTTTGTGTCTAAAAATTAGAAAATCTTACTGAACATCATCACGTAGCTATTGTCAATACCCATTCTTTGAAATTGTCGTCTGATTTCTCGCTTATGTTAGTCCAAGGTTTCAATCAGACTCCAAACCTTTCTGTGTCATTGTAACTCAATGAGGAAATAAACAAATCTCTTATCTTCCTGTCCTCAATTTGAACTTGTCCCTGACCCCTTTGAAGCACATATTATCATTTCTGTGTCCTTTGTAACAACCACAAACCATCTTTCAAAACACATCTGTAGCCCTGTTACTGCTTTGGAATGGCATATGCATTTTTATTGTATAATATTTATTGGATATGTGGACATCCTCTCTGTCTTGGAACAACTCTCCATCAAACTATAACCGCAACTCAGGCCTATTATGTTTTATGTATTTCTAATAAAAGAAATACACTGTTTTTTTTACTACCAGAATTTGCCTCCAATTCAACTGCAGTTCTTGAGTCTATAAATATGTAGATAGATAGAAACTTTATTGATCCCCCATAGGAGAAATTTGGGTGTCCAGTAGCAGCAGAAACACATCCATCCATAAAAATAAAATAAAAATACATAATTCTAAAAGTAGCATTCAATAGTAATAGCAGCAGTAATGATGTAGCGGCTGGGTGGAGCAGCTTCTTTGAATTTAGACCTGGTTTTAGTCCTGGTTTTAATTTAGTCCTGGTTTAAAGCCTGGGTACGTAATTTTTTTTCATACATTTCACATGCTGAAAAAAAAAAAAAGATTTCAGTATGAGACACAGCTCAAAATGACATGCTTATGAAAACTAAGATACGATCAGATAGACTTTATATCGATCTCACAATGAAGACATTTACAAAGTGAAGGAAGCAAGCTGTTTTGAGAATGACTTAGATGATTCAGTTACAATGCAATTTTTTTTGTGGTCTCAAAGTTGGATACCTCAGCTTTAAGCCCATTTTCATTGTAATTTGGTTTACAAAAATACTCTTTTCCCTCTTCCTTGCTCTTTAAAACTGGCTCCTTCTGAGGCAAGTTAGCTCCAGGTTTGCTCAAATGAATGTTGGAATATATAGGCAAAGCAATTTATTCATACACAAGGCAACTCAGTGTGCTGAACCAAACAAGATAGCATTAAAATCATAAATAATCACAGTACATTAAATAGAAAGATGCAAATATAAAACATTAAATCCCTCAGACGTCCCCTAGAGACAGTTTTTCATGCCACAAATTTAAAGTCTCCAATGATGACCAGGTAGAACTAGGAAGGACTATGAAGGAGACTTGGATGCAGCCCTTGTTTGGTCCTAGTTTAGATCCAGTGTAATCCCAAATGTTGAGCTTGTATTTGTGCGAGTTATTTAGTGAAAAGTGCAGACGGGTTCATTACATGCGTGTTATTGCTTTGTGGGTGTGGAGAGGAGTGCATTTTGTGTCTAGTCGTGTACAGTCTGGTCTGCAGTTTCAGACGGTAGCTCTTGACCCTTTGCTCCCTGTTTTCCCTGTTTTTGTGGTTCCCATGGAAACAGAGTCGGTTTGGCCGCGGGGTACACACTTTTGCCTTTATACGCCCATTTTCTGCCTGGATGTGTGCCAAAATGGATATGAGTAATAAAGGATGAACGCAGAGAATATACAGTCCAAGAGTAACCTGGCATATTCCAATATTCAGGGGTAAATGCTGTCTATATCAACGCACAAGGCTGAACATTGCACAGTGTATTGAAAAACGTGTGTGTTCCATTCATTATTGGATTGCGATGAAAGATTATAGGTGAAAAACAAGGCAGTTCCTGGACAATATCTGGTTGTGGCATCAAACGAGTTAATTAGATAGTACTGTGCTAATTAAGAGACTTAGCAGACCCATGTTGTAGAATATGGTTTCGTTGGCTCATCCTCACAGAATCTTAAATTAGTCCTGGAACAAGATTTGGGTTTATTCCAAATGCGGAGAAATGACAGAAGATATGATTCCGTTTATTATCTCTTAATTTCAGTTTTGGCTGCAACAATGGGAAAACATGCATGCTCATTTTTGTGATTACAATTTGCTGTTAAAATAGTTTTTTATTGTTAGATTTTTCTCTGACTTTAAAGACATTCTTTTGCTTTTGCTTTCAGGAACTATCATGTCAGTCGCAAATCAAAACTTGCATATACCGCCTATATTCACTACTTATGCTGTCAGTACCTGGGGCGACAGTGGCTCAGTTGGTAGAGCATTGGCTTAAACAGCTCCCCCTGCAGATATACAGTACCACAGCTTGTCAACCATACTCTATACCACTTGGTGACTTGGGTGATACCCCGCAAGGCGTAAAGAATATGCCCATGTAGCCTTAAAAGTGGACACATTTTTCACTCGTATTAGTGTTTATTCATTGGAAGAACGTCAAACTTATATATTCTTGTTACAGTTTCAGCTCTCTTGGGCTGGAGCGGATTTGGGAGGCAGATCTCGAAGCGTGTCAGCTGTTTCTACGAGGTCTTCAACTTCGAACTCCCAGCGTCAGTGAATCGGACAATAACCTCACTCCTGATCCAGCAAATCCAACTCCGTCCAGCACCAAAGAGAACGACGATGAGGAGAAAGATGAAGAGGACTGCGCTATGCTTACGGCCTTAGGGGGGCGCTGGTGTCCCGAAGCCAACCTGCAGAACTCAGAGTTCACCAAGGTAACAGAGTTTTCTATTACTTCAGTGTATTTAAACAGGTGATGAAGACACTGTTAAACTATGGATCATCTGAATTTATCAAAGCTATGATTTATATATTGTATCGTACATTTTGTGCTTTTGTGTTTCTAGTCCTAGTCCTTTCCGTGAGCATACTTGCGGTCAAAATGTGTCCATTACATTTGTATACATTTACCACCCCTTATGCCTATTTTATCTTTAACGTCTGAAGAAAGGCTCAATTTAAGACATTTGGTGTTTAACAAATGACTGGACTCTTTGAGAAAGCACTATAGTTTTGGCCTCTGATTACTCTCATCAGGCCTATTTATTTATTCTAATTATACGTGGGAACAATCTCCGCACTGACAAAGATCGAACTTAGGCCCCGTTTATACTGAGACGCTGCGCAGACGTTTCCAGGCTATTAACAGAAACGACCTGGCTCCTAATGCAAATTTCTCAGCGTTCACATGAGGTTGAAAAACGATGTAGTTCTAGCGCCCGGCCAGTAGTGGGCAGATAAACTTTACAACACGACACACGACCCCGAGCCCCGTGCCCAGCCCCCCTCTCGGCAGTGTACTCACTTCCTGTGCCAGACCCTCAGAGAGTACCAACATCATTCTGCATTTTAACAGCAGCTGTGAACATGGAAACTGAACCTAGAGCTTCGCGTGGTCTCGTTTGGACGAACGAAGGAGTAGAGTTATCCTTTGTCCCGCGCTGGAAGCCCACGTAGCTAGTTTGTGCGGGCGGCGCCATTATTGTTGATGTTTGTTCTCCGCTACTGCGCATGTCCAAATTTACGTGCGGGGAGCAGCGCTGAGGCGGGGGTCAGAGCAGAGGGGGATTTCACACCTATTCCCCTCTCGCGGGTGTGAAAGAGCTCCCTGCTGTGCAGCGTATCTGAGTTGTCCCACTCTGCAGGCTGGATCTGAACACTTACGTTTTCACCCCCCTGGAACACTGTCTTCGTATGAACGGTTGGTAGCAACCGACATCCAACTATACCGTTTTACTGCCACATTGTCTCCGTGTAAACTCAGCCTTAAACTCCGGGCTAGTTGTACTTGTGCAATACCATAGTGGTTGGAGGGATTAATATGCCTTTGATCTAATGCACTGTCATGGAAGAGCCTTATATTAACTTCCTCAGACTTTTTAGATAAATAAGAATTCAACAAAACCAAAGCTTAAACAGCTCTGTACTTAATTTTTTTATTTTAAAAAGTCATGTAACTTGTATCGCCGGTGTCTTGAGGTTGGTCTAATTAACGACCAAAGACCAACTGTTGGATTTTGACAATTCCCTTTCCTCAGAAAATGAGATTTAGGAACCTGTAATAAAGCAAAAAGGTCAATGTGGAATACGGGTAATATCTTTTTCCCCTTTTTTGCAAATGTTTTGAGTGTATTTCAGTGAGTTTGGAGTTAGAACTGGTTTCACCCCAGAATGTTTTTATTTGACTGGAAATAAAATGACTGGTTCTGCTCTACTGCAATCTTTCACATTCCCAGGAGTATGAAGGTTATATTTGATCGATGGGTGAAAACCTCATGGGTCACTCATCAGAGCTCAAAAGGTTAACATGTTTTAATGACATACTTTTGAGATGTAGATACCTATGGTTCCTTCCTACACATAGTTATTATTTCAAGTTCTACAATACTGAAAGCTCCCAAGATGCGCTATGATTGAACACAAATAATGCATACTATTTGTTCTATCGCTAACAACTATGCATTATTGATCCACCGCCCCAACATGACCCTACTTTGTATAATGTGCGTAGACCTACATCCAGAACAGGGAAAGATGCTCCGCTGAGGTTGCTCTCTAAGAGTTAGGGTTAGGGTTAGCTTAGTTAAGCTGCTACATAGATGGGACTCGGGAGTTTGTTGTGTTCGTTCATGCATATAAAAAGGTCAAATGAGAGCAGGCGTTTGTATCTGACCTCAAATCTATTCTTCTGCTTAGATAATGATTTAAAAGAGTTAAGCATAAGACTGGAAGATGCACATGTGATTATTGTGGGTGTGATGTTGGCAACAGTGAATTCTAATTGAGTGAAAGCAAAGCATGGGAGGTTCTTTAACTTAAATGATTAATAGGGGCATTGTAATTGGCTGGGATTTCAATAATTTCTTCAAATTCGTTAGAAGATACAGCCACCAATGTTAGGGTAGATGAGGACCTCAAAGCAGACGGCAAAAGGGCAGTAAAAATATTTATTAACAAAAAGTGCAGCAGGCTTGGCTGAAGGGAAACAGGGCAAGGCTTGGTCCAGTGGGGGGCTTCGAGCAGGCAGTGGAACTAGGAACACAAAAATCAAAAATGAGAAAATAAGTCACAAAGCAAAAACCCTCATAGGCAAGGAAAAACGGTCTAGTCACCACGGTGGAAGACGGAACAATCTGACGATGAGTGGAGATCAGCTTGGAGACTTTGTACTGTGGTGATGAGGGAACTGAAGACAGCTGTGCCTGCTCGAAGACCACACCCAACAGGAGCCATGCCTGAAACAAAACAAAACCACACGGGGGAGGCAAACCACAACAGGACCCCCCTCTCAACGGACGCCTCCTGGCGGCCTTCCAGGCTTGTCCGGGAACTGGCGGTAGAAGTCCCGGATCAGACCACGATCCAAGATAAGGTGACGGGAAATCCAGGACCGCTCCTCTGGGCCATAGCCCTCCCAGTCTACCAGAAACTGGAAACCACGTCCCCGGCGGCGAACATCCAAAATACGGCTAACTGTGAATGCAGGGTGATCATCAATAAGACGGGGGGGAGGAGGGGGACAGGAAGGAGGGCAAAGTGGACTCGACACAACAGGCTTGAGCAGAGAAACGTGGAAAACTGGATGCACTCTGAGGGAGTTAGGCAACTTTAACTTGACCGAAACTGGGTTCACAATACTCTCAATTTCATAGGGTCCAACAAACCTGGGTGCCAGTTTTCTGCTCTCTACCTGAAGGGGAAGATCGCGTGATGAAAGCCACACTTTTTGTCCTGGCTGGTAATCCGGCGCAGCAGAGCGACGGCGGTTGGCACTCTGTTGATTGCGAGCGGACGATTGGATAAGGGCCGACCTAACAGTCCTCCAAACAGCACGACACCGGCGGAGATGAGCCTGAACTGAGGGGACAGACACTTCCTGTTCCTGTGACGGAAACAGAGGAGGCTGGAAACCCAGCGACACCATGAAAGGGGAGAGACCAGTGGCAGAACTTGACATCGAATTGTGGGCATATTCAACCCACGGAAGAAAAGTGGACCATACAGTTGGATTCCGTGCTGCCACACAGCGAAGAGCCGCCTCCAGGCTCTGATTTGCCCTCTCTGCCTGACCATTTGACTGCGGGTGGAAACCAGAAGAGAGGCTGGCCGATGCACCAATGGCTGTACAAAAAGCTTTCCAAACCTGCGACGAAAATTGGGGCCCACGGTCCGACACAATGTCTAAAGGAATTCCATGTAAACGAAAAACATGAAGGACTAACAGGTCAGCTGTCTCCAAGGCAGAAGGAAGCTTGGGTAGGGGAACAAAGTGGACTGCTTTGGAGAACCGGTCCACAATAGTGAGGATGACAGAGTTACCTTGTGATGGGGGCAATCCAGTGACAAAGTCAACAGCGATATGCGACCAGGGGCGCGAAGGCACAGGAAGGGGATGCAGTAAACCAGCAGGGGGCAAGTGTGAAGGCTTACTACGAGCACAGACATCACAGGCAGACACAAACTCACGAACATCAGGAGCCATAGTGGGCCACCAGAACTTTTGTTTTATGAAGTTCAAAGTGCGATGGATACCTGGGTGGCAACTTAGCCTAGATGAATGACCCCATTGAAGAACTTGGGAGCGGACTGCCATAGGAACAAAAAGACTGTTTTGAGGGCCATCGCCAGGGTCCGGCTCTGTACGTTGTGCCTCAAGGACGACATTTTCAATCTCCCAGTGGGCCGCAGCTACAACACAGGAAGGTGGCAAGATGGTGCCTGGAACAGAGTCAACATTATCAAGGGAGTACAAGCGAGACAATGCATCAGGCTTTGCATTTTTGGACCCTGGACGGTAAGTTAAGGAGAAATTAAACCGGCTCAGGAAAAGGGCCCATCTAGCTTGACGGGAATTCAGTCGGCGTGCAGTCTGGAGGTAAGAGAGGTTCTTGTGGTCAGTCCAAATTATAAACGTGTGGTGTGTTCCCTCCAACCAGTGTCTCCATTCCTGAAGCGCTGAGACGACTGCCAACAATTCGATTACCAATGTCATAGTTGCCCTCTGCCTTAGTAAGACGCCTCGAGAAAAATGCACAAGGGTGAAGTTTGTTGGTTTCTGGGGATCGCTGTGACAGAATAGCCCCCACCCCTAGGTCTGATGCATCTACCTCCACTGTAAACTGCCTTGTAGGGTCAGGATGGGTAAGAACAGGTGCAGTGGTGAACTTTTTCTTTAGCCAATCAAAAGCAATTTGAGCTTCAGGGGTCCAGACAAAGGGGGACGATGTAGAGGTGAGGCGTGTAAGGGGAGCTGCAACTCTGCTGTAGTCTCTAATGAAACGTCTGTAAAAATTGGCAAAACCCAAAAATCTTTGCAGCAGTTTACGGGATGTGGGTGTAGGCCAATCAACAACAGCCTGGATCTTGGCTGGGTCTGCTGACAGTCTTCCTTCTTCAATAAAAAACCCGAGGAAACTAACCTTAGGTTTGTGAAATTCACATTTCTCAGCCTTGACGTAGAGTTTGTTTTCCAATAGTCTCTTTAGCACTAGCCGAACATGCTGGACATGCTCTTGGATGTCTTTGGAGAAAATCAAAATGTCGTCCAGGTAAACAAAAATAAACTTGTTGAGCATGTCACGCAAAACATCATTTATGAGTGACTGGAAGACTGCTGGTGCGTTTGTGAGCCCAAAAGGCATTACCTGATATTCAAAGTGACCCAGTGGAGTATTGAATGCAGTCTTCCACTCATCTCCACTTCTGATTCGCACAA